GGAAATGCTAAATTTCAGTTTTAGGTAAGATTCATTTTTTTTTCCCACCCAGGTTCAGATTCCTTGGAATCTATCCACAGGCTTCCTGGGAGTTAAGACCTGCTGTCCCCTGGTCACTGGAATGGACGCTGAATGCCTGGGGTCGTGCAGGACAGTGTGCTTCAGTTAAAACCTCTAAGGACCGTTTTTGTAATCAATATGGGCCAGTTGAGTCACCCCTAAAAAGCTTTCTTAAATTCTAAGACTGTCTGATTTGGTGATCTTTTACTGAACCTAGGATCAAGCAAAAAGAAAAGATGCCAATTTTAATATCATTACTATACATTGCTACTTAATGAAAATGTTGAGTTAATGGTTTAATTTTATTTTCGAGAATTAAAGGGTACTTTTTACCACTGAATCAAAATTTGATTTCATCAGTTATCAAAAAACGAAGTTAGTGAATAATAGTTTTATTTTAACCAACATATTAGTTTAAATCAGCCAGATGTAGGCCACAAGGGCATTTTACCTTGTGTCTTTCTATCAGTCTATACTGGGATCCTTGGTAGAATCAGTGTATAAGACCCATCTGCCCTTTTTTATAAGCTTTAGAATATCACTTTACTATAATTATGTTTGTAGTTGTCATAGCTTTGTTTCCAAAAAGAGATCACTTATATCTATATTTGAGGCCAAGAACTTAGTATTGAACACAATCCCTAATTATAATGTTGTTCATTGGGAAAAAAAAAAAAGGCCTTGCTTTATGACAATTCCATTGACAATGCCAGTTCACAGAAACACACTGCAGCAAAAAAAAAAAAAAACAACAAAAAAAAACACCACTGCAGATGATCAAGGAAAAGGTTATTCTTTTTTTTAATTAATTTATTTTGAATTATCAACAATCACTTCCATAAGCTTTTGAGTTTTAAATTTTTCTTCCCTCCCTCCCAACTCCCTCCCCAAGACTGCGTGCAATCTGATATAGGCTGTGCATATCATTCCTATTAAACATATTTTCACATTAGTGATGTTGTAAGTAAGAATTAGAACCAAGAGGAGGAACCACAAGAAAGAGGAAACAAAACAAAACAGAAAGAAAAAAAATAGCAAACTGTATGCTTCAATCTGCATTCAAACTCCATAGTTCGAAAAGGTTATTCTTTAGAAATGCGTAGACACAGCACAATTTTGTATGTCTGCCCCTTTGGAGAAAAAAAAAATATTTACCTTAAAATCTGTATCACAGAAAAGCATGAGACAGTTTAACAAGGAACATGGAATCCATTCTCTACCTATATGATCCAGGATTTTTCAAAATGGAAACTTGCCAAGGATCCCTCCAGACCTTGGGGCTAAAGGCCCCTCAGCTCTGGAATGGGAAGGGAGAAAAATCTGTTTGCACCAACCCAAAAAGGAAACCATGGAATGGGGCTGGCCCACAAAGGAAGCCTTGGTGGAATCGCTAGGAGGAAATCAGAAACGGTCAGTATCTGTTTCCCTTGGAGTTGTACCTCAGTGCTTGGATCAAGCCACTAATGTGCTGCTTGCTTTAAGAAAGAAAAACAAAACTCTCCCGTAAGCTTGATGGAGGGGGGAAAGAATCCCCCAAAGTCAGTTTGACCTCACTCTAATCCTGAATGTGACAGCTCTGAGCAGATCTGGCCGGGATGATAAAAAGCTATTTTGGTAAATGCTTCATTAAAATGGCTTTCAGGAAAAGAGAATACGCCAACAATGCAAAAAGCCTTGGGTTGGGAGGCAGGGAAACAGCTCTCATCGCAGCTCCGACTCACGCTCCCCATGCCACCACGAGGCCCGTCCCAGTCTGGCCCCCTGTTCTGGCCCCCATAAATAGGGGGATGGTCTGTCAGGCTCGGTCATTCTCAGGGTCTTTGAGACAAGAATTCCATTGAAGTTATTCCCTTACAAAACACAGCCCTATGACTCTCCATCTCGACGGCAGGGAAATCCACCCTCAAGGGAAATGGGTGTCACACACTATGAAGATAGATTGGAAGTTCAAAGTAAGGAAGACCTGCATGGCAGTCACAAACTTTGGTCTAAGCGACAGGGAGAAAGTTGAGCTCTGTCCACCCACTTCAACATTCAATGTCTCAAAGTCTTAAATTACTCAGGAACTAACTAGGGCCCAGTGACCTGGATTCCTTCAGTGCTGGCTTGAGATCTTCATTTTCACCAAGGAATTCTATCTTCCAAAATTAATCAGACCAATTTCTGTATTAGAACAAAAACTGAAAAAAGAAAGTTGTCCAAAGTATTACAACCTTCCAAAGTGGCAAGTTACGGGCACTAAAGGCTTTTCCTTCTTGGACCAGAAAAGCAGAAGCTGCTATTCCACCATAGCTAATAATTGCTGACCTCAATATAGCACCTACTGTGTGCTAGGTGTTGCGCTAATTTATAATTATCTCATTTGGTCCTCGCAACCACCCTGGAAGGCGCTACTATGACCTCCATTTTACAGATAAGGAAACTGAGGCAAACAGGTTAAGTGACTTGCCCAGGGCGACACAGTAGCAATAGTACCTAACATTTATGTGACAATTACTATGTATGTGCCAGGCACTGTACCAAATGCTTTACAATTATTATCTCATGTGATCCTCACAACCACCCTGGAAGGTGCTATTATGACTCCCATTTTACAGATGAGGACACTGAGGCAACCAGGTTAAGCGACTTGCACAGGGTCACACAGTTGGTATTATGTCTGAGAAAGGTTTTGAACTCAGATCTTCCTGACTCCAGGCTATGCACTGTAACCCCTAGGTGTTCGGTGGGTATCCTAGTACGACTTCAGACAGGTCTTGCTTTGGTTTACAAATGCCCAACACCCTCCCCCCCCCCACACACACACACACACACACACACACACACACACACACACACACACACACACACACACACACACACACACCCGGAGCTGGGGCTGTCCCTGACAGGGCTCAAAGGTTATATATAGAACATCTGGGCATAAAAGAGCTGAGGGCAGTAGGATTCCAGAGCTTGAAGCTGCTCTTAATGCTAAATTACATTTTCAATCATTTTTTAATGGTCTAGCCAGAAAAGCTAACCACCATTAAAACAGAAGTTCTTAACCTAGGGTCTATATGGATAGACAGATTGCAAGGAAATCTTTGAACTCAGAAGCAAAAATAAGACACTTTTATTTCAATATAATTGATTTCTTTTGGAAACCAATACATTTTATTTTTTGCATTTTTGAAAATTATTCTGAAGCCTACACATTCTACCAGTATGTCCAAAGAGTCTATAACACGTGAAAAGGTCAAGAAGAAAAATATGTCGAATGTGGTTTTATTAGAAAGTGGGGTCTTCGTTACAAACCAGGAGTTTCTGGACTATACTCATTAAGAATGTGATGACTGCTGGTACTTAGACATTTAGCTTGTTTACAGCAGCACAAGGAGACCAAAGACCATGGCTGCTTCCCAGTTCAATGGCACATCAGTCAACACCATCAAAAAATATTCGGGAGGGGTTGGGCCACTAGGGAGGAGGAGGAGGAGGAGGAGAAAACTCGAATGCCGGGAGCTGACACGAATCCTTTCCAAATGAAGAGGAGTGGATGCTAACTAGCACATCACAGAGATTCTGTGGATTTACGGATTTCAGCAACAAGAGTCAATGTTTTGGCTCCAGAAAGCAACTGCCTAGGAATGAAAATAAAGGGATAGAAACTGTGCAATCGTTCTCTCCTTACTTGGTTGTAAGCTCCTTATGGGCAAATCTCATTCATCTTTACTTCTTCTACCCTGGCAGAGCCCTGTACACAGTAGGCATGCAATAAATATTTGCAAAATTTTTAAAAAGAGTATAAAAATAAAAAATTTTTAAAATTAAAATAATTTTTAAAATAATTTTTAAAAAATTAAAATGAATAAAATTAAAAATAAAATAAATTTTCAAAAAAATCACAGCCTTTGTGAACTGATCTAACCATTCTGGAGAGCAATTTGGAACTATGCCCAAAGGGCTATAGAACTATATACCCTTTGATTCTGCAAAACAGATTTTAAAAAGGGAAAAGGACCTATATATACAAAAATACTTATAGCAGTTCTTGTTGTGGTAGCTAAGAATTGGAAATTGAGGGGATGCCCATCAATTGGAGAACGGCTGAACAAGTTGTGGTATGTGATTATGATGGAATATTATTGTCCTGTAAGAAATGACGTTCAGAAAAACCTGGACATACATGAAGTAAAAAGTGAAGTGAGCAGAAACAGAACACTGGATATAGTTAACAGCAATATCGTACGATGAAGAACTGTGAATGACTTATCTATTCTCAGCGATACAATGATCCAGGATAATACCGAAGTACTAATGATGAAGCATGCTATCTCCCGCCAGAGGAAGAACTAATGTCGTCTGAATACAGACCAAACGAATACTGTTTGTCACTTTTTTTTTTTTTTGAGTCTTCTTGCACAAAATGACTAATATGGAAATATTTTACATGATTGCTAATGTATAACCTCTATCAGATTGCTTACTGTCGCAGGAAGGGGAGAAGGCAGGAAGGGAGGGATAAAACTTGGAGCTCAAAACTTTAAAAAAAAACCCAAATATTAAAAACTGTTTTTACATGTAATTGGGGAAAAAAATAAAAGATTGTTTTTTTAAAGAGTCAAAAAATTAAACACATCAAAAAATTGATGTGTTTCACTGCCTTTTTTTTTTCCATTAAAAAATATAATTTGTTATATGGGATGGTTCTCTGGAAGGGACAGGGGAGAGGATACTGGAATTCTGGTGATCGACAAAAAAAAATTTTAAGTTTTTGGCCTGAGTCTTCTCCTAAGATTATACTTGGGAATTTCTGATGCCAACAAGCTAACAATCAGAAATGTGCACACGATACAGCCTTATATGTCCATCTTAAACAAATATTCATGAAAATGTCTTATCATTTTATGTATTCCTTACTGTTTCATTACATTGAATTTTAAAAAACTGACAATAAATCATGGTTTCAGTTTATTTATTTTGATACATTCTGTCCCCAAGAATTAATTAGAACTCTTCTGCCATATACACGCCCATGAAGACCCCAGGAGCATCCAAACGCTGAATTTTCACTTCGTTATTCTGGCCAAAGTGCACACCGTCAGGGTTTCTCTTGTCCACCGATTGCTTCCAGTCCAGATGTTCAAACAGTCTTTCATCCCCAAAGCAAGCTAAAATGTTTGTGGAGAGGAAAAAATAAATTAAATCCAAACAAAAATAAAATTTCCAAAGCTAGTTTATTGAAATAGAGTCATGAAGGTCACAAATTAAAACTAGGAGCTTTGCTTTAAAGCCGAGTACGAGTAAAATAAAACCTGGTTCAGGAAAGGGCAGACTGGTCTGGCACAGGGCCAAGCCCCAGGTACAGAACGCTGCCTATGGAAAGGTCTTTTAACCACTTTAAACGAATTACCGCAGTAAACAAAGATAAAAACACTGAGGAGCTCGGCAGTCACCACAGCCCCACGCTGTCAAAGAGTCTTTGCACATACAGGGGGGCTGCCGAGCCCAGGAAATGCAGGCACCCGGGGCCAAGCCGCTCTCAGCAGCACCTCAGCGGCCACTCCAAAAATACTTGTTGATTGATCAATTAATCGAACCCTTCTGGAGCCCTCAATCGGCCGCTGAGCGGCTTGGGGACTGACTCCCCCTGACTCACAAAATAAAGGTCTGACAACCTACGAGGGACAAATGACCCCACCAGTTACAAAGAGCCCCTGCTCTAAATGAAAACTTCTATAAGGCCAAATCAATTTTTGTTTTTTGAGCTTGAGGCTAAGAGAGAATAAGGGCCTGCCTCCCTAAAGTAAATTACATGTGGCCTCTGAGAGTGTCATTATCACCCTCGCAGAGCCCCAGCCTAACGGACAACTGCTTTCAATCATTTCTCATCCCAATTCTCAGAGGGCCGGCTGCGGCTGGCCTTCGCCTACAATGCTTCGCCTGCCACCCGAGAGCCGCCCCGGCTCTTTGGAATCATTGACCAGATCGGCCTCCAACAGGATTTTGAAATTTTAAAATCAAGCTGTCACTTTTATTTTGTTACACCACTTGTACCCTCACCATATAATTAGAAAATTCTCCTGACGCAGATGAATTCACCAACATCATTTTTTCTCTTTTTAAAAAATCATTTCTAAAATCTATCAGGTGATATCAAGAGACCACCTAGAGCTAAAATTTCCCTGCAAAAGAATTCCAAAACATTAAGTGCTATTCTGATTCATAAAATTATTCCCATGTCCCCAGGACAGGCTACAGAAAGAGAACTTTGTTTATCTGGTAAAAACAGGGCAGTAAGGGCTGGCAATTTTTCAAGGTTTGGTCTCAAATTCCAGTCATTTTCAAGGTAAAGGACTTAACTGTATTTAGTTAGTAGAACAGAACTCAAACTAACCTGTTAAAATTCTTCTGTCCTGCCATTAAGCAGCAATAACCTGCCACCTTTCCCTCGGCCACTAGAAGAAACCTAATCTAAATTCTTAAACCATCCAAGAATACTAAACAAAGAAAAAGATCAGGGCCTGGGGAAGAGAAGAGGAAAAAAAGTACCCTTAGTTCTGCCGCCTGAAAATGTGATTTCTAACAGTATGTTCAGTTTAATGAGATACAACCAACTGTTCTGACGTCCTGTGGAGTTTATTAAAAAGGGATTTTGCTGGTACCTGGAGACAACTAATCTTATTTCTATTTTCATTTGTAAATGGTATTAAAACCCCCTTAAAAATCCCCAAGTAATTTTGCATACTTTACTTCCCTTATTTTTTCAGATGCACTAAGGTCTCCCCCTAATAGCTATCAGCCTCCAAAAGCCAGAGAAAGCGTGCAAAGCCCCTTTCTTTCTCTCTCTCTCTCTCTCTCTCTCTCTCTCTCTCACACACACACACACACACACACACACACACACACACACACCGGAGACTCGCTAAGACTATTCCTCAGGTTAAATATTTCTGCCTAGGAAGGTAACAAAGTTCACTTTCATGCTTAACAATACTTCAGTTATTAAAATAAAAATTAAATGAATTTTGCTTGTGTACATTTTTAAAGGTAACAGCAAATAAGCAGAATGCCCCAAATGAGAAGACCACCACCTGCCCAGGAATAAATGGTGGACTCACAGCAGGCCACCTGGGGCAGAGCCAGGGATCCTGAGGCTCCCTCACCTCCCCCAACCACAGTTCTAGAAATTCCACAGTTAGACATTTAAGCATTTATATAAAGTGGACATTTCAGTGTCCCTAGGGAGTTTTGCTGGAAGCTTGCCGCCTTGCAGGCCATCTTCTTCTCAAAGAAAAATATAACGAAGCATGGGACTGACCCCGAAGAGCAACTGGCCATGGGCTCAAGTACGAATTCCGCCTTTGCCCCTTAACCTACAACCCTAAAATACTAAAAGTATCAGAAAACTCGCTCTGGGACAGAGAGCATGGGATTGAGCGTGCCTGGGCAGGGGAACAGATCTGAGGGAGGGGCAGATGGGAGCAGGGCTTACTCTGACCCCGAGAGACAGAGGACCGGACTGGTCACTGGTCAAACACGCCCGGCACTCAAGGAGACTCCACGCTGCCAGAGCACAAAGCTCATCTAGGACAGAAAAGAGAGAATCCCCCAATCCCAAGCTCCCACAGGCCAAAGGACCACCAGGAAAGTGGGTTCACGGAGGCAGCACACGGTACAGCCCTGCTACACAGATTTCACCGAGAGAGGACAAGAGAAGTGGATTAATTATTAACAGCTAATTGTTAATTAGACATGAGGATCAGGGAAACCGCCACATAAATTCTAACAAAAACACTGGGGCCAGAGGAAGAAAGGTAATCAATTACTTTACTGGCTTAACATTCTTCGTGGTATTAACTCGGCAGTTCCCTCCCCCCCCAAAAGTCATGAATAACTTCCACTGACCCAAAAGAGATTTTCAAATAACTCTGTAAAGAGCCCCAGCCACTTGAGAGTGACAGAGGAGAAGGAAGTGATGATGAGCTCTGCGAGGGCCCCTGGCGTGGGATCAGTACAGGAGGCATGTTCGGGGCCTCTCTGGCCCGTCCATGGGCTGAGTTTACATTGATCCGCGCATCCGTGCCCAGGCAGGCCCCTGTGTGACCAAACACAGGGAGGGCGGGCAGGCTAGCCAGGGCCAGAATGAAACAAAAGCTCACAAGTCTGTATTAAAATAAAGACCACCACTGCGATCACACATGCACTTTCTTCTAAGCAAATGGGTTAGCAGATGTGCAGAAACAGGGCTCCTGCCACCTCTCAGCAGTGTGAAAAAGCAGCCCGACTCTTAGGCTAATCTATTCTCTCTCTCTCGGGGACGGCTGCAAGGAGACTCAAAATTACCAGCCTGGCCTAAGGCAGAGAGAGGGGGGCTTGGGGGCAAGGGGGTCGTCTTTACTGAGGCTCAAAGAGGTAGCCATGAACAATGACCGTGTGTACATGTGTGTGTGTGTGTGTGTGTGTGTGAGAGAGAGAGAGAGAGAGAGAGACGGAGAGATGGGGGGCAGGCGGGGGGAACAGACTCCAAAGCGTCAATCAACAAGATACTGATGGTCTTGCTGGAGAAGAAAGGCACGTTCACAAAAAGATGGCTACGGAGGCAAAGTATTCAATGAGGGGTCTACAATTGCAGATGGCAAGCAGAAAAGCTAGGATGTGGATGGAGAAGAAGGGAAGGGAGGCAGAGGGCGGGAAGGCCCTGAATGCCAGGTCAAGGGGCTTAAACTTTATCCCAGGAGCAATAGAGACCAGTAAGGAAGCTGTGACGGAAGAGAAACGGAGTGTCGAGGTTTCGAGGCCACATGACGACAAAAATTATAACCAAAATCGGGAAGGCGCGAGGCCACCGCCCTGGGAGGTAGGAGGCAAGGTCTGAGTTTCTGAGCCTGAAGACAAAGGGAATCCAAAGAGAGATGTTAGCAGGGGGTCAGGGGACCTGTTAAGGACGCCGGTCCTGCCTCTGCCATTCATTCCGTGGGGAATCCTGACCACTTCATCTCGTCTGCGAGATAAGCCAGGTGGGGCTGATGACCCTGAAGCAGTCAGAGCCAACCGTGCAAATGTGGGGGTCACCACAGGAGAGAGGGGAGCAAACGCTCAACAACCGGCCGTGTGGGCCTGAGCCACCTGCCCACACGAAGAGGGCCGAGGAGGAGGGCCCCGCCGGCCAGGAGACCGGTGCGAACCCTCAGAGACGGAGGAGGAAAAGCGGGCCAGAGGAGCGCTGTGGAGGACGCGAAGTCACTGTAACTGCCCACACTGTGAAGTGTGCGAGAGTAAAAAACCACACGTTCTTAGAGCTGGAAAGAAGTTTAAACATCATTGAGGTGAATCTCTTATTTCTACAGCTGAGAAAACTGTTTCACAGGCAAATGAAATGACTCAGTGAGGCCCTACTGCCTGAAAGGCTATGAAAGTTGACAATTAGAAGGTCGCTGGTCAATGTGCTGATCAATTTTGTGGAATTTTCATTTTTTTAATTTCATTTTCTTCAAAAAAAAAGATCTGTCATTGGGATGGCTCTTGGGGAAAGGGGAAAATGGAGGGATACAGGGGAAGTCTAGGGAATATACCAATAAAACAGTTCAATAAAAATCTGCTTTTTAAAAAAGTTCTCTAGTGATGTGTGTGTGTGTGTGTGTGTGTGTGTTTTAGGGGGAGCTGTCAGACGACAAGAAGCCCCCAGTCCATCATGGAGGAAGGGCCACACACCCCAGCCAGACTGTCCCAGCAGCACCCCCCCCCCCCCCCCGCAGTCCTGAGGAGGCAGAAGAGGGGGGGCCCCGCAGACAGGGGGCACCTGGCTCTTAGGCTGGGAAATAGAGAAGTTTGCAGCCTCTCCCCCTGCTTAATGATTCTGTCTCTTAGATCGGCAGCTGAACCCAGAGCATTGTTTTCTAAGCCGTCTGATAACCACCAGCTGAGCTCCTGGGGCCGGAGGGAGGTCAGCTCATCTGAAGCTGGTTTCAGCACACACCATCCCCATGGGTTTTTTTTTTTCCTATGTAAGCTTTTTAATCTTCTACAATTAAATGCTTATGAATCTGTAAATACCATACCTCAGAACAGTTGGTTCAGGCATCCCGGGATCTGCACCTCTCCTAAATCCTGAAAAGAAAAAAAGCCCACGTAAATAGCAAAGTCGTGAATAAAAACTGCATTTACAACAAAGAGCCGCAGAATGGATGGACCCTCCCCTGACACAGAGTCTCCCAAGTGACCCCTGGAGAATCCATCCGCCACTCGGAGCTCCAGGCCGCTGAGACTAGAGAAGGGGTGATTAGCACTGGTGGGGGGAGTTCCCACAGCAGCACTTCTCAAAAACTTTCTGGCCTCAGGATCCCCCGAAAGAGCATTTGTTCGTGTGGTTATATCTGCACAGTTGCCAAATCATAAATTAAAACATCACAGTATTATGAAAACAGTTTTGACCTTGACGACCCCCTGAAAGGGCCCCCAGATTACACTGTGAGAGTCTGGTCAACAATCCCATTTACAGCAAAGGTGACTTTTTTCAGCCGACCCAGAGCTCGGGTTGCATCCACCTGGCTCTGGCTCTGGCTCGATCGGTTCCTCGTGCCTGTCAGGAGCGCCGGAGAAAAGCCGGCTTCGGCTCTGTGCTGCAAACATCACTCAGTAATCGTTTCCCAGAAACGGTGAGAAAATAAAAGGGGGCTTCAAACAACTGATGAAAAGGGGCTAGAAAAAAACTACAAACATACTAAAAATCCTGCCCTTGCTAATACCGAGTGGTTACAACAGCGTGGAGGAAAACTGGGAAAATCTTGGTAAGGCCCGGAAACCAAGGAGAGCAATGCACGCTACACGGGCTGATGAGATCTAATTTAATAACGGTAATGTGCAAAATGGAGAAAAGGTTATTCACTAGTCCCCCAAACACCTCAGTTTTGTTTTCTCTTTCTAATGACAAACACGGATGAACAAAAAATAGTGCCCACTGTCCGATTATCAATGATCAAGGGAAGGATTTAGAGAATTATCTGGCTCTTAAACCAGATGATCGAGAGCCCGGCCGGCCACCGCTCCCCACCACACCATCCAACGGCCGGAGAAACAAAAAGCCCGGCAGACAGCTGGTCGCTGTCCAGCCAAAGGCCGGAGCTGCCAGCCGCCAGGCAGAGAAGGCCGCAAAGCCGGGTGGGGGGTACGGGGAATTCGCATTAACGTCAGCCTCCCTTTCCAACGCTGCCCGGACAAGTCAGGAGCCGCGCTCGATAATGACGGGGCCGTGGAGGGGGCAGAGGCAGGGAACTGGGGAAGGAGAAAAGGCTGGGGTCCTCCCAGGGTGTGAATTCACACCGAGGAGGCTGCGCCCGGGCCTGCTCCGGGCCCCCGGGAACCCCCCGGCCTGTCCCCGCAGAGTCGGGGGGCACCGCTCCAAAAGGGGGCTCGGGTTATTTTAACCCCCCCCCCCCGCTGACTCCATAGCATCCCTAAGGGGCTGATCCTAGGGAGGGGCACGCTCTGTGCAGAGGGGGCAGGGGGGAGGCTGGGGGGCCGGGGGGGGGGGGTCTCCTGGCTGCCAGCGACCTCTCAATGTCCACGTCCCGGGCGGCCCTCGGGAGGGATGGCAGAGGCCGGGGGAAGGGCGGACGGGCTGCTGGCCACCGTGGGCGGTGAGCCTCCCCAGCCCCAGAGGCCAGCTGGAAGGGGCCGGGGGCGGAGAAGGCCCAGGGAGGCAGGGGCAGGGGGTCCAGGGCCCCTTCCCTAATTTTACAGGTGAGGAAACTGAGGCCTGGAGAACCAACTCCATTCAATTCAGGCACCGTCCAGATATCGGCCCGGTCAGAGGCCGCGGGGCTCTCAACTCTGGGGCCTCGACTTGCCCATCTGTACAATGGGAAGATGTCAGCGCCTGCCTGAGGTCCTGGGGCAAACCCAGGCAGGTGTGAAGGCGCCTATCCTTCCAGTATTCTGGGAGTCTGCTTGCCCCGGGGGGGGGGGGGGGGGGAAGCTCCTGGAGGGCTGATTTTTGGTTTGGCTTTTTTTGATCTTCAGGGCCGGCCACACAGTAGGCGCCTAATAAATGCGTGTCCCATTTCACCTAGGCCTGGCCAAAGTCAGCTTATCCACAGCCGGCCTCTCGGGTGGTCTACCCCCAATAAGGTGGGCCCACCTGGGGGGGGCGGGGAGAGAGAGGGGGTGGTCCCTTTGTAAGCCTTTTCTAACAGTAGGCGCCTAACAAATGCCGGCGGCCCGCTCGCCCCTCCCCCCTGGGCCCACGTGGGTGCGAGGGGCGGTGACGTCACCGCGCTCCCGGCGCGCCGCCGCATGGCGGTCCCAGCCCGCGTGCGCGCCCCCGACCCCCCCCCCCCCGCCGCCCCGCCCGCCGCCATCGCGGCGCACTGACCCAGGTAGAGCACGAGGGGGATGAAGCCCCAGCGGATGGCGAACTGGCCGCCCCGGAAGAGCTGCTGCAGCCGCTGCTTGGACTCCTTGCTCAGCTTCACCATGGTGACGGCGGCGATGGCGGCGCCCCCAGCAAGCTCGGGCTCCCGCGGCCTCTTCTGCCCGCCTCCGCCGGAAAGTGCGCGCGTCGCGCAGGCGCAGCGCCGCCGCCGGCGTCAGGGCGCCGCGCTTTACGGCTGGGAGGTCGCGAGCGGCTTCGGGGCGTCGTAACTGCCTCCGCTTTTCCTCCCTCCCCAGCGGGGAGCCCCCGTCTGGCCACGCTCCCATTTCACAGATGGGCGTACTGAGGCTTCTGCCGAGTTACGGGGCGGGGCGTGGGAGTCAGAGCTTCACTCACCCCTCCCCATTTCATGGCAGGGAGGCAGGCCCAGAGAAGTCACGCGGCTTTCCCGGGGTCACACAGCAGATTGGTGGCGGCCCAAATCCGTGGAGCCTGTGGACCCGAGTGGGAGTGCCGTTCCTGACCCTCGCAGAGTGGGGGAAGCTGCAGGCCCGAGGGGGGCGGAGGCCTCGGTCCCCACCTGCTCCTATTTCCCATCTCCCATTTTGGAACTCTCCCCTGGGGTCCCCAGGGGAGGGTTCCCTGCCCCCGGCAAAAACAGCTGGTGCCTAATAAATGCTCATGGCGCTGCTGGCTGGTCTCTCCAGGCGTCCCGCTCGTTCTCCTTTGGGATGGATGACGTAAGGGAAGGGTATCCTGACTGTAACCGACTTGCTCCCTTTGCTACAATGTTTCTGCCACCGGAGGCTGAGCCCTCCACCCCCACCCACCCCGCTCCTAGCCAGACCTGAGAGGGCCCTCCTGCCCTCCACCAACCCTGCCAGCTGCTCAGCTGCTGAGTGTCACCACGGCAGTCCGGCGCCCAGATGTCTAACCAGGGCAGAGTCCAGAGAAAATGGAGCATGCTGCCCACTGACACCCTGATCTCTGGCAGATGCTGCTGCCCAAGCTGGCCCCTCTGGCCTGGTCACACACTCTGGCCTGGTCACACGCTCTGGCCTGGTCACACGCTCTGGCCTGGTCACACGCTCTGGCCTGGTCACACGCTCTGGCCTGGTCACACACTCTGGGCCTGGTCACACACGCCCTGCCTTCCTCACCCCGACTGCTGTGAACTGTAAGGCACTACAAACACGTGGGCAGTGGTTATTATTATTTTTAGTGCTTATTTGACTGTCTCTTTCTCTGGGGAAAGACCAAGCTTCCCTTCTCCCCAGAGACCTTGTCCTCCTTCATGAGCCATCGGCACCTTCTGGAGGTGGAGATTTAGAGGAAGGGGCCAATCCTTCATCTTGCTTCCCCGTGTGTGTGATGGAAAAGTTGAGTGAGCAAGCCTGAGGTCCCTTCCAGCTCTTAGGAGGACTGTTTCCAAGAATCAGACCGAGGGGAAAGGACAAGCAGAGTGGGGCTTATTCACTCCACTCTCCAAACCCTGAATCCACCCGCAGAAAAAACGATCTCACTTCCTACTTCCCTAGAAGGTTCGTTCACCAAATATGAAGCGGCTTCAGTGAGCTCTGGGCGAGGAGCTGGGGGAGAGAGGGTGGTGACTGAGGCGCCGTGCTAGGGCCCACAGCTGCCTGCTGCTGATGTCCTCTACTCCAAGACGGCGTTTTCTCCTCCCTCCCATCTCAGAGAAAGAGAGTCTGTCCTCCCCCCCACCACTAGACCATAAGCTCTCCGAAGGTGAGGACTTGCATTTTCCATCTTTCTAGCTCTGCCTTGTACATAGGTACTTCATAAGCCCTGTGGTTGGTATCTTTTTCAATAGAATTGAAGGAATGTGCCATGCCCCTTCGCCCCCTCTCCCGGAGTGGGTGCTACTTGGCGCCTAGTTACCCTGTCCCCATAGGCCTCGGGGCAGGGATTGGAGGAAGGATGCCCCTTATTTTGAAAGGTCACTTCCAGACTGTCCCCAGCCAGCAACTCAGCTAATCCTCTGCCCATGGGGTCCTGGTTACCATTAGAAGTTATCTCCTTGGCATGAAGTCATTCTCCTTCCTTTCCCCAGGAATTCTGGCTCCCAGTTTCACTCTCCAGCCCACGCCCTGCCCTCCTACTGGAGGGGTGGAGGTAGGGCTGCTCAGTCAGAGGAAAGGGAGACAGTCCTGTACAATGCTAGCCCGGAAGCCTGTTCCACTGGTCCCACCCCATGATGGCTTAGCTTCAGCGAGACCAGGCCACACATCCCCACCAGCAGGCAAAGAACTGAGATGGGAAGGGCCAGACTTGATGAGCTGGAGTTTGTACCAGGCCCTTTATTCTGCTCCTGTGCTTGGGGGGCCAGGGGGGAGGCCAATCACAAGTGAATCAAGCCCCAGAGCCCAGAGCTCCTGGGTCTATGGTTGATGACTAGTCCTGGGGAAAGTGTCCACTGACCATCCTGTGGGAACTGTGTGAGGCATTCATTTACTTGCCTGCTCAAGAGAGACCACTGAGACCACTTCTGTCCTAGAATTTTTCAGTCCAGATGGGTCTTGGGCCCAGGAGGAGTCCTAGTGTCTAAGACAGGGGTGGGTTGGGCAGCTAGGTGGCACAGTGGATGGAGCTCTGACCCTGGAGTCAGAAGGACCTGAGTTCAAATCCGACCTCAGATACTTACTAGCTGTGTGACCCTGAGTAAGTCACTTAACCCTTTTTGCCTCAGTTTCTTCATCTGTCAAATGAGCTGGGGAAGGAAATGGCAAACCTATCCCAGTATCTTTGCCAAGAAAACCCCAAATGGGATCACAAAGAATTGGACGTGACTAAAAAACGACTGAACGTCACTTTGCAGCCACTTGGTGGATGCTCGTGGTTTATTGTTATACATTTTCCCTTAGTATTAAGTGCTAGTAATTTACCTACTGATTTCATGCTAAAAGTAAACACACTACACATGATCCTTCCAGTGTTTCTAGAAGCAGACACACGTCAAGGTCAACGGACTGGCATTCACTGATACACACCATAACCAAGAGAAGGTAGAGTGGTGAATGAGTGAGTGGAGGTCCAGAGCTAAGCTTGATCTGTAGTCAACAGCCCCACTAGCCCCAGACAACTAGAGGCTGTCCTCTACAAAAAATCATCTGTGAGGGACAGAGCGGGTTGGGCTCTCTTTTCACCAGCACTTCTGTTCCAAGTGGCTCTATCTAAACCATCAGTGAGCAAAGGATTTCCCGGGGCGTCTGGCTGCCACGGAAGGATTACATATACTGCATATTTAATGTTTGATGAAAAACAATATTGGACTTCACTCCAAACACCTCAACTTGGTGCTTGGTGACCATTTACGTGTAAATGAAGGCATTTCAGTATGAACGCTTTCCAGTCCCTATCGGAATTTTCTGCCCAAGCTCACTTAATTTTCCCAATGGGACTGAATGTATATTCCGGTGTTCTACCTTTATTTTTTTTTCACTCTGCATTATTTCACAGAGGCCCTTCTGTATTTCTATGTATTCCTTACACTTGTCAGTATTGATTGTCTCCCCTTACGTTAACGCAACACAATTTAAACATTCCCCTAGTGTTGGACACATGTTAACACTATGTTCATCTAAATTCTTTATTTTGTACCCTTTATTAAAGGGAAGGAAAGGGAAAGGAATAAACATTTACATAGCTCCTACCATGTGACAGGCCCTGGGCTAAGCACATGACAAATATCATCTCATTGGATCCTTATGATAATCCTGCAAGGCAGAAGCTATTAAACATTATCCCCATTTCACAGCTGAGGAAACTGAGGCAAACAGAGGTGAAGTGACTTGCCCAGAGTCACACAGCTCAGACGTATCTGAGGCTGGATTTGAACTTAGTGTTTTCCTGACTCCAGAGCCATCACTGGATCCCACAGCTGCCTATAGATGACTAGTAAGCAAAGGACCAGAAAAATGTGGTTCCAATGCCTCCCACACACGTCTTCCCTGGATCCCTATTTAGTGGTGTTTCCTACACCTTTAGTGAGTGTCAAGAGAAGGATTGTGCATTGGGTGACGTCCGCCTTGTGTAATACCATAGCTAAAGACATTTGCCACTGTAGCAACACAATCCCCTTTATACGAGAAGCCACGTAGACTAGTCCTCTTTGGCTTTCCAGGAAAAACATTTCTTTCTGCAAATGAATTTTTATGCTTCCTTTGGTGGGACAATGATTCCTATGTAAGTCAACGTGTTTCCCTTTCTGCCTGCCCTGCCAGGAATGTCGAGGCCCAACGGCTGGGATGAGCGCCCTCCACGTCCCTGGCAGCGTCTGCCCTCACTGCTCTTCTCCCATCACCTCCCTTCTGTTCTTATCCTTAAATGCTCCATTCTGCAGCATTTTGGCTTTTGTAAACCACCTTAAATGCTTTGGGAAATAGGTATGAGGGAGGATACACCTTGATGACCCTCATTAATTCTGGAGGTGATTCGATGCTTAAAAAACAAAACAAAACAAACCCAAGAGTTGAGGCAGGAAGCCCCCAGTTAAGAGGGAGGCCCCTGGCGGAGTTTAAGCAAAGACAGAGCCAGGGTGGTAACGAGAGGAAAGAAAAGAGGAGATACTCTAGGGAACATGACATGGGAAGAACTGCCAGTATCTGCTGGGAGAAAGCTCTGAGACACTAAGCCAGGCGCCTCCAAGGACAGGGACAGGTCCCATGCACAAGGATAGGAAAGTCAGCTCGGAGGAAAATGACCTATGATAACCTCAATGTAGAGAACTCTGGGTGTGGAAATGCCCTCCACTGACTCACAACTCCTCAGTAACTAACTTACTTCTTAGATACCTTGGGCACTAAGAGATTAAGTGATTTGTCCCAGGATAACTCCGCTAGTGTTTATCAGAAATAGGGCTGAACCCAGGTCTTCCAGTCTCTGAGAAGGGCCCTCTGTCCACAATGCCACTCTTTCACCATGCTACCACCTCCCTCTCCTTTTCTCACTCTTCCTCTCCTTTCTCTTCTCCTCTCCTCCTCCTCCTCTCCTTTTTCTCTCTTCTCCTCTTCTCTTTCTCTTCCTCTCATCTCTCTTCCTTTTTCTCTTCCTCTCTTCTCTCTCCCTCTCCTTTAATCTGTCCTCTTTTTTTCTCTTCTCCTCTCCTCTTTCTCTCCCTCTCTTCTTTCTCTCCCTTTCTCTTCCTC